CCACCTCTAAAACGCTTGTACCAATAATTACACGTTTCAAAGGACACCACCAAGAGCACTACAGATTGATTCCCGTGCTTAAGAAGAATTTTTTATTCTTGGAATTCGTATAAAATGCGGCTCCATCTACTGTGCTGTTTATCAGTTAGCATCGTAAACTTTTCTGGGAGGTGATGTAACTCAGGTATACTTGTCTCTTGGTTTTCTGAAACCTCGTATCTGATCCTTTCAAAACCACGAGAGGCCATGAAGATATTTCTATTTTAAGTGCAATTTCGAGCTCGATGTACAAATAAGGTTTTACGCCTGACAGCTATAGCGTGCTGGGGAACGTAAATATTCTGCGTTTGGTATGGGCATTGTATCTTTCCACAGCTATTCAAGTCAACTCTAGCCTTCTCCTCCCTCCTCACCCAGGTACACATCCGGAGATCTTAAGGGCGCGTGCTGTGACTCCATTTCGCGACGTCACCTACGGCGTTCAGACGCTTTGCTTCAACGAGGGCGACATCATTGGGGTGAGTTTCTGTCCGCATGCCTTCACTCATCGTCCCTGGACAGTGACATCTGCCAGGCACATGCTTAGTCGCTTAATTCGGCAGGTGAGCCCCGCTAGACGTGTAAGTCTCTCACGCACAGTTAATTATTTAAACGCAATTTCCTGGGGGCATACCACAATCATCAACACGCTGATTAGCCACTTGTTGTGCGTGTCAAAAGCTGTTTATGTGATATTTGAGGTTGTCTGCATCCTGCATTCACAGCAAGCGCATGCCGATTCTCTTGAGGTGCATTTTTGTACACGCCAACTTGATTGGCTGGTTTAAATTATCCTCAAGGTTAAAACTGATTTCTGACTGGTCGATTGCTGGCACCGTTAACGAGTAGACCCCGCCAATGGAAAAGCTCTAACCTCTTCTACTGGGTGATAGTACGACGCGATTTTGAGAAAGTGATTGGTTTAGTGGAATCTTCTTGTTAAAGTCGGCACCCCAGAAAACAGACCAAATGAGTTCATTCGTTTCGACGAAGCACTGCATCACTAAACCTAGCAAGACGGTGTTTGAAGGACTGCTTTTTGCATCCAGAAAACCCAAGAGGCCGTCATAACATTAAATTCTCCCGAGCACTGCGGATCGACAATGTGCTTGGCTAAACCTTACCAAACCTCGGTTAACGAGTTTGCGATCCGAACCCTAGGAAGCTTCTCTTCTCGATTTTGATCTCAAACAATTTGGTGTCGATGCGATCGCACTCTAAACAGAAGCAAAGTATCAACTCCCTACTGACGCTACTTGGGCGAATGTGTCTGGGCTGTTTGAGCCTTGTCTGCGGCATATATTCTCCCCAGCACACACACACACACAACTCCAACATCGAGTCGTTTTCGCCCTCAGACGTGCGCTTCCCGCGATGCGGGCAAAAACGCCCGCTGTCAGGCTTTTTTGAGGGAGAGAGAGCCATCGTGTTTGGTGAAAAATTGCCAGTCGAGGCAGATTAGTTTGCTGCGTGCGCGCCTCCAACCAACGTGTGGCAACACTGCCGAGCAGGGCTTGGGATAGTCAGGGGATTGGGCAGGCCCCAGCAAACAGCTTGATTTTGGTGTCTTGCCTAGGTCTTCACCGATTCGATGACCTCCAGCGACGGCGGGATCGGTGCCCCGGTCTGGTGGCGGGGTTTCCGACTTGCGAACGGGCCAAATGGGGGCATCGGCGTCTTCCCCAGTTCTCACGTGACCCTCTTGCAATCCCCCACGTGCACTCGCCCCTTTCTTCCCCATTCCGCACAGCCCGCGAAGAAATCCGACTTGTCTGTGAGTTGGGTTGGCTTGGCTTTCTCACGAAATCCCCTTTTTACCGAAAGTATTTTCACTGTAACATTGCGCTTGACTCGGCTCAGCCAATGGCGGTGTGACCTTGGGTCTGCTTTGCTTTTTAAATCTGTCTAGTAAGTAGGAAGTAAGTGTTGTGTAACTTTGCTTGCACTAAGATGCCAGACTGTGTAAAATGTAAAAAGGCGATGCCCTTAGCTGCTACACAAAGTGCCAGATCACGATAATCCTCCCAAATAGTCGGATTAGACTTGAACTTAATTCCGTCTGATTTCAAGTTTACCACAAACGGATTGCTTTTGAAAGTGAGAGCGTTTAAACAAAATCGACAGTCCACGCGTGGTAATACATAGTGAAATGGTTACGATTACATTCTTGGCAAGGTTTGGCTCAAGAGGCTGTTAGAGTAAAATAAGTTATCGATTTCACAGTGAGTCAGCAGTTTGATTCGCGCCAAATTCGTGTGTTGATTTAAACATAGTCAAAACTTGCGACAGTAGTCGGTGAGGTCACCTGATTTGCCAAAACGCCTTCCGAGTCAACGAAAGGCAAACAACGAACTCCACGGAATACAGACGGCAAGAACTCACATCTTGTCTTACGAGAGAAGCGCTTAAAGCTTCGTGTTCACCGTAAACACCAGAATTCACCTCGACTTCTGATATTCCTTTTGTGTGTTTTCTTTTCCAATAATGTGGTTGCACTGTCGCACGATTTGGCCAGGGTGTGAGGCGGATTCCAACACAATCGGCTTACTGGATTTCGGCTGCAGTATTGTTGACACAGTACACACACTGCTGTGATTGGACACCTCAAGGTCGGCATTAGACATTGACTCTAAATCTCGCAAGTGATGGCATTTTCATGCCTTTACTTAATCTTTGTTGGGGATAAAATTCAGGAAAAGGCGTGCAAGAGGGAGTAAGGCCGTTAACTCGTGCTTCAAAGGTCCTTAAGATGAGATGAGGGTTACTGATGCGATCGGTGAAACACCGGACCAATTGCGAACTCCGTGACAGTTCATCCCAACCATATCTTCATTGTTGAGTGCCTCAGTTTGAAATCCACAAACGTTTCCGGTGGTTGGTGGCTGATGTTATTTAAGTAGGCGGTGAGATGCGACAGGACAATCAGTCTCTCCAATTTGACGGAGACATGCATTTGTGGGAGTCCCTAGAATCGGCTACCACCGGGTAAGCCCGATGTGAGTGTTCATTTGTTTAACTGAAGTGGTTGGCCCTTCAGCGAAAATGTTGCTCCCTTGAATCTGACCTGACCTTGAGTTGAGTAGCAGATGGTGAGTCGGTTTGGCGAATTCCTACACGCTGAGAGGTAATGTCGACATTGGGAGGGGGAACTAGTGCCTGATATTGTGACGAAGTGGCACTCCTTCACGTCTGGTTCGCCATAGCACACAGTGGTGGCGGTGGTGGTGGTGGTGGTGGTGGTGGTGGTGGTGGTGAGGGAGCTATGATCCGACTCGGTATGACTACGATGAATTGTAAGTGATAAGTCGATGGAGTTAGTAGTTCGCGCTGTGCGAGATCTGTGGTGAGATTTTGAGGCAGCAGATTTGTTGGAAGCGAGTTGGAGGTGCACATGTAAATTCACACAAAACACGAGGGTATCAGGGGGAAAACTCGAAGCCATGAGTAGTATATTTCTTCGTCAACGAATAGCGTCGTGAGTTTCAACGCAGCGGCCTGCGTCTTATGTTAATTTGATCAAATTTTGTGCCGCGAAACCCACTACGCTACCACTCAGATTATAATAGGTTTCAATCTAATGTGCTGTCAAGCTCTCATGACATCTAGTTCAGAGTGAAAGCGATCACTTATGCATCGGTTGGTGCCATGCCAACCAAAATAGTCGTTAACTTTCAATTGGTAAAACTATTGAAGTGGAGTCCTAGGATGTATCATTTTCGTATTTGACTATGCGATTAGGGGTGCTGTGAATAGCAAAACCTGGCCCCAACATGGCTTTGCAAATTTGCAACAGCTGACCGCATTCTTCTAGTCAGAAAACCCCTTCATTTAAACAACGTCCTACAGCAAATTAAAAGACGCTGCCTAATTTGAAAGGAATCAAAAACACATCGTTCTGTGGTAGTGTCCATGAATGACACCATCAGAAATGTTACTTCGGACCTTAGGTATTCCAATTTGATACTGCAAAAGTTCTACCACTACTGAGTAACAAAGATCTACCAAAAACACCTACTCTGAAGGAATGGGAGGTCTGTCTCCAGCGAGTAGACACACTTCGGCGTAGAGTGGCTGGTGGTGGTGGTCGTAGGCCGGCAACGTGTCCAGGTGAATCGAGATGCGCCTGGTCGGATCCAGGTGAGGTGGTCGGGATTTTCGCAGTTGAAACGGCGATGGAAGGCACGAGGATGCGGGCTGAAGGCGGATTTCTGCAAGGGAACTGGACCGAGGTCTACGCAGCCTCACATCGGGGGCGGACTGGAGCAGCTGTCGGTCGATGAAGCGCGGCAGGAGGTAGCGAATCACCTCGTGACGGTTGTGGCTGACAGCAAGGTCCAGAGCCGTCTCGCCGTCATCGTTGGTTGCCATGACATCCGTGCCCTCTTGATCAACTAAATATTGAACCTAATTTGAGAGAAAAACTCGGATGTACACAATAGATGGCCCAATTCAAGAACAGTTATGGCCGCTGCTAAATGCACCTTGATTGCATGAACTTTGATCAGCAAAATGTCTTCTAATAGACTATTCAAACAATCGTCCATCGTGGTGCGCGACGATTTGGAGCATTTGAATCAAACTGGTGTGATATGTTACCAGCACTGGTCACTTCATCCATTGGTGTTTCTTTGATGTGGGATTTCTTGACTACGTTGAAGGTTTTGCCATTAGAGGTGCATTGTTCTTTACAGTTATGTACTGATTACTTAGTGTACAAAATCGTCTCAATATGTCGAAAAAGTCCGTTCTGAGGATTGCGAGCGTTCTGGTCGACCAATTAAATTTGATGGGGCCCAAGTCAACGCCATCCTTGAAATGGAAGTGTGAGAAATTGCAGAGCGGATGTTAAATGCGTCACAAATCACAAAAACCGAAGACTTTGTAGTGTTGCTGTGACTTGTGTTTGTTCACGCTCCACTCGCCGAAACATAATGCCCCGTTTTCACAGTATGCCGTCAGCCATGGGGGAGCCTCAACTTATGATAGCAAACCCTCTTAGATCTCGTTGTTAGCACACCGATGACTCACGTGACGAGGTCAGCAACAGTGCCCCCGAGTCGTTGAGACGACCTATTCTAGAAATCCACTCCAGCTGGAATAAATTTTTGCGAATTATCGAACCACTACATACCACGCATTGAAACTGATTCGCTATTGGCGGATTATGTACGACACCATCGAGTAAAACCAATCGCAGTCCCAGGTCGACGAACCAGCGCAAGCCACATTGAAAACTTCAGGCAGTTTGATTGGGTCACAAACGTGTCGTGAATTTTGAGCTGCTTTAAATGAACGTAACGGCCAATTCACCTATTTACAGTTGACAACAAAGTCGAACTGGATTAGAAAGCAACCAGAGGTATTGCCCAACGCACCACATTGCTTCGCCACTTAAAATACTGAAATCTTTGCAAGTAATACATCAAAAATCGCTCAAATTTAAACGCTCTCTTGTCCGTTCAACTTCGTGTCAGTCAACGCTTACCCAATGACACTTGAGAAAACATTAGCGGCACGTCGATGCTGTCCGCTTTCATGCACTGTAATTGCACGATTCCACGAGGTGACACTCAGCGCGTGCGTTAAAATTGACGGCTTTTAAATGTCAAATTAATTACGCCAAGTGTCCTGACACGCTGCTGCCACTTTTGTTACCGGAATGTTAACAAAGTCGCATACTACGCGGTGCCATTTGCGCACTTGTGCGCAGCGCTGATTGGCGTAAGTCTAACCAATTTGAAATTCCGCCACCACAAACCCTTCTGGTTGTTGGGCTTTCTGCCGCAGCGTCGGCAGGCACAAAGACCCCATCGGCTTAACTCGAGTTTGCTCGTGTCTAGTAAAAAATGTCACAAACTGCCTTGAGCACATCTGAACAGCACGTCAGGAGAACAGTTTTCACATTTTAATGAACTCAGATGATAAACAGTAGTTCTATTTTTAAGAAGGCTCACCCAACACGCTAGGTGGTTTATGGACCGGAAGTTGGTTACAGCGATCATAGTCGGAGAGTTAACGAGTTTTAAACAAACTACGGCCCTTGTTTGTCATCTGACTCTAATGCAGAATCATTGGCCACCAACGCAGCTCGTACAAACGGTCTATTTGTGTGCTGAACACCAGTTGTGCAGCATTTAGCTTGGAGCATAAAACAACCGAAATTGTGCTGGTGTGTGTGTGTGTGAATTTGCAAAGTACAGCCAATGGCACTGGCGAATGAAAAAAATTATGTGCATTCAATGGGCTAAACGGACAATTATAATTGTGAAATTAAAAGAAACCGCAATTAATGGCCAGTAATTTCTTCGTTTGAAATCATTCAAACGCACTGATGCGGTAAATCGAAATAAGGGCGTTCAGCCAAGGCGAGTTACAGAAAGTTATAATGCAGCTAGATTCAGCTCTCTCTCTTTTTAACTAAACACTCTACATGACCTCATGTTTACAATGACAAACACGCTCATTTGCAATCTGCTTTATGATTGGTTGAATTGGCTGCTGTTTTAGATGTGCACCAATTGTGGCACGACTCACTACTGGGTGCTGGTAGGGGTGACTGCAGTGAGGATTTACCGAGAATAGTTCACTTTATCGGGACTTGAACCTTAGAATGCAGGTAGATTCAGCCACCATTTTAACCAATCATCTTACACCTCCAAAAATCCAATTTACTCATGTTTACTATTGCAAGCAGGCTGTTTTCGTTTGTTCTCACGAAATGACGGCGCCTCAGTTGAAACAACGAATAAGAACGACGGACTTCGTCAGTTACATTTGACAAATAAGAGTTCAGACAAACCATGGTTCTGAGATTTGATTGGTTGGTAAAATAAAACCAATTGTTTTTTCGACCAAAAGTGAACTTGTATCAATCGATGGCGTTCCATTTTGTTCAAGAGCATTTTGCCAGAGTTCTACAACTCCAAAATTCTGCACTTATGCAAGTTCTAGACACTAGCAGTGAAAAACGGAACACAGTGCAATTGTAAGTCATCATCATCAGCATTATAAATTTCTAATCAAATGGCATGAAGGGGGTGAGACATCGCTCTCTCCAATCTCTACTACTGGTCGACAAATTAGCAAGCATGTCCGAGGCCTCGTGTTGCCTTGGTGGAACACGAATTCTTTTCGATTAGTCAATCCTGATTGTTCTTTTGAGATAACGTCTTACTCCGACTTCTGAACTTGTTGATTGAGCATGGGGGTGCGTGGACACGGCTTTCAAAACGTGACACCATTGTGATCCAACGAAATTGACATTATCTTCGCGTTTGATGGAAACCAAAAACTTACGACGTGATCCATGCTGTTATATCGCGTGATTGCTTCCCATTGAAGATTTCATGCACAATTATTTTTATCATCAATGAAGAACCCTTTAATGTTTGTGGAGCCCACCTATCGAGGTCTGCCTGTGATTAACATGGCAACGTTTCAGAAATCTCTCGCGCGCTTACACAGCTGTGATCAGATTCAGTTGCGGTCCTGGATGCCATGTCTTCAGAATGAAATCTTTTGAACCAATCCTGACACCTGCGTCCTGTTGACCAATCAAAAGCACACTAGGAGATATGATACCAACCAAGTTGAAAAAAGCATATCGGAGTATTAGTTTTATGAAAAAAAGTGTTCATTTTTAGAGCAAGACTTATTTCCTGATATTTACCACTTCTAAACTCAATATCAGTCCATTATGTCGGTTAACAACACAGAAGTGAATCTACATTCACACCCATAGCTAATTGGTTAACTTCTAGTCATTGTTATTACTATCCTAAACGTTTACCATATCCGCATATCCATTGTGTGCAGCCGCGAGCAACGCAGCAGCCCTGACTTCGCTCAGGACCCCCGGAGAACAGTGTTCCTTGGCTTGACCCACGAGGACCCGCACTGCGCCAATGCTATTGGTGGAGGCGGCGTGACGCACCAGCCAGGTCAAGTCGGCTGGCGTCGTCGCAGGCGGCTGTTCGCGCAGCCAGACGGACAGGAGGCTGGCCAGGCACGCGGCGGCGGCCGAGCGCTGTTTTGAATCGGCGTTTTCGAGACGAGGCGAATTGGCAATGCAGAGTAGGAGGTTGTCGCACCTTGAAATCCAATTGAAGGGTTACGGTTAGGTAGACAAAAAGAGTACGAAGGACCGACCTTCACCAAACCAGTGAGATCGCATTTAGAGCGCGCGGTTCTAAAAGGCTTGAATTTAGCGGCAACCGGTAGTTGTTTTACGGTTAGTGGCTTCGATGCGTCAAAAGACGACCACTCAAATACTGGGCAGCACGCAGGCGAGTTAATGAACTACGGTTCGGACCAACACTACTGAATTTAAGATACAAAGTAGTTGAGGCAGTCGTCATCGTTTAAACGTCACTCATCCCACCAAAACAAATTAACCCACTGATCAATGGTCTCTGGTGGGCGTGGGTGGGCTTCAAATAGCATAAGTGGCCCAGCTAGGATAATTTTGGGGAACATAACTCAAGATCAGGCCACATTTTGCAAGGGGCTACATAACGTGTCTGCTATCCCGATGAGACGATATGAAGCATTGATCAATATTTTTTGATGGGCGTGAGAAAGCTTCAAATAGAACGAGTCAAATGTGATGCAGCAGGCTGGCTGTTTCAGCCCAAAAGCGGTGAATAGACATTAAAAAAACACAGTCCAGATACATGAGGCAACCCGCTTGACTCATGACCTGGTTCGGGAAAAGAGGTGGGGATGCGAAAACCGCAAAAACAACATTTTTTCTTCTTAACTGAATAATCCGGGTTTATTGGTTTGATTGGAGATCGTGCCTGACCCAAATTATGGAGCCTTCAGGTTGCAGGGCGATGAAAACACACACACATGTGGAGGTATTTCCCCGTGTGAAAAAAATATTCTGGGTAATATCTTTTCTCCCGTCGGTCCCACTCTCATCAATATCTGCTTCAGTTGATTTTGCACGGCTGTCTATGACCAGGTTTTCTGAACGTCGTGGAAAAGATGGGAAAAAGAGACACGATGGAATCAACGAAATGGTGGATGGTTTGAGAAGAAGTTGCAATCATTCGGGAACCTCAAAAACCGTATTTACCAAATCCCCCACTTCTGAGTTTGGAATTGTGGCTGGATAAAGCGTATATGTCTTGACAGATTTTCGTAAATAAACTGTGTTTTAATGGAAACATCGGCAGCGAGTGACATCAAAAGGTCTTTTAAATTGTGCGAAATTTCGACATTCTTGATCTAATTACTAGGTAGTGCCACACCTGTCATGGGTTTCGCAGTCACGTGCTATACCAGGGTTGCTGTCTATTTACCAAATCTACCGATTATTTGCCTTGTAAAGCCACATTTTCCACATTTGTTTATAATAAATGCATTTCGCATTAGTTTTCAGAATCAGTTCAGTAGTGCAAACTTCGTAAATCAAAAAAGCTGCTATCAAATGAAACAAACAGACAAAAAGAGCTCCTTGCGCTCACAAATGTCATTATTCTACGGACAATGAACTCAAAAACCACAATTTGACGCAGGATTTGTTTAAAAAAAACGTGGTTAATTCTACAGAGCGATGATGGTGAGCTATGCAGATTAAAAGCAATGACTGTTTTGAATCCGCTGAGCGCTTCCAGATTTTAAAGGGACGGTAAGACAGTTACTTTAAATCGTTGCACGGTCTGGTGTTTAATGACATTCAAGAATTGTCAATTGTGATGACTCGAGTTACTACGTTGGTTGTCGAATGGGTCATCTACCCTCTTTCACTCCCGTTCCCAGTTTTGAATTATTCTGTCCTGCCGTAACTCGTGAAGTTTCAGGTTGTTGTGCGAAGGATTGGGTTGCCGTACCCGGCTAATTTGCCAATCATTCAAGAGTCAAGGGATGAAAGGCAGTCAATAATTCGCTCACAGGTTTGGGAAATGTGCAAAAAGTGCGTCTTAAGGCTACCCGCAGACAATTAACACCAATCAATACTTGATTATTGCTGCAATTGTCTCGTAACCAATGAGATTAATGTCCTGGAGTAGTTTGGTCATCGAACATCAACAAAGGCAGCTTCACCGCGAAAAACGATTAACAAACTTGTGTGGTAAAGTATATCACTTTTAAGTCCAAAATTTGCTCGCAGAATTATTCAAAAATGGCTTTTTTGGTCGCAAAATAGTTCAGGCCAATTATGCCACCTAAGTGATGTTTCCTGCTGGTATTAATAGACCACTTTTACCACAGCGATGATTGGTATGCAGGTGGCGGATGTGGCTGCACGTCAACTCCTGAAATGGACTGGCTAGCAAAAATGTAGCCCTGAATGCTACTTAAGGCAGCACATTTTTCAAAATTTTGATTATCACTTAACGCTGTGCATCAGTTTTAGTCAGAAATACGAACACGACTTGATTTAAGTTGGCATTATGTGTGGCAATTTAGCGCACTGCGCCACATACTAATGAATAGTCAATCAGTCGAGCGTAAGGCAATTCATTTGGCCTCGCGTTACATCTAAGGAGGGCTTCCTTTGAAGTGTTCCACTGAAAGTGCAGTGACGGAGGACCTCGTTTCAAGGCGAAAAGGTCGGAAACAGCCAATCACGTTGACGATTATCTCGCGGTAATTTCGCTGCGCTTTCACCCACATTTCGCTTTAACTAACATCGACCGACAACTCAAAAGGTCAAAGAGCTATCCAACCTTTTTTTCCCTGTTTGCGTCATTTAAAGACCTTTTATGGAAAAATATTGAAACATTTTTTGTTCTCAGATGTGGGCTTCATTTCACAACCGATTGAAACCTTTGGACCCGTGCATTTGCATAAAATTGGAGCACAGGATGGTAAGGTAACTCAAAAAGGAAGTACTTTGAGTGGAACTAGACTCAATATCTTAATGCTCGTTCAGGGAAGGAGGTGTAATGAGATAAATCCGACAAATCCACGCCCATTCTCAGCACTCAACATTGTGTGGTCTTTGAGAGGTTCAGAGATTTCACTAAAAGCACAGACGTTTGAATTCAGATGCACTTTTGACGTGTACCTCCCAGTGAGTACCAAGGCTATCCCTCTTATCGCCGACAGGGGACGGTTTATTGTGAATCGTGTTTATTCACACCCCTTTAATCAGGTCGCTTCACCTCCTACACAGGGTTCCCCTTTTTGCAGCGTGTCACCAGGTGCGCGAATCCTCAACTCTTTCTTCATTAGCACGAATATTTATCTTGGAGTATCCTCACACCTAGGTCTCGGTGTTAGCTCATGTATGACTCCCACATCCGAGGTATAAATACACACGCGCAAACCCAACCACGACACAACGACACAAACGTGGTGCAGCTCTGAAGTAAACGGTTGTGTCCACGTCCTCTCCGGTCTTTTTTCTCATCATGGGTATCCGGGCTGCGTAATCGGGCCAAAGTTAATTCCGATGCACGGCGTGGTTCAAGACCACATGCTGGGGTCCACAACAAGTTGAACCTAGGGTTCAGTCTATGGCCTCCTCTCCATTTCCTAGACTGTCTGTGCCTGTGTGGTCTAAGTCAACTTAAAGTATCCTATTGTCTTTCACAGAAATAGTTTTCGCCTAAATAGTAGGGTCGTTATCTCACTTCACTAACCAGCTCGCGTCGCATCACACCACTGAGCCCTTGTGATTAGTCGCCGTGTGCGCCGTGGTAAACATGGTTGACCTTTGACACGGTGAACTCCAGCACATAATCACAATTTCGCAGGAATGTTTCGCATCATCTTGGGGTACTGCCTCGAAGAGAATGATGGCTTTTCGCATCCTCCTTTAGTAGACAGAGTGATTGTCACCGAATTCACCCCTCCCCCACCCACTCCCACACCCCACAAAGCCAAATTTATGACAGCGTTGTCAATGCAAGTTGAAAATTGGCAGCAAACGCAGATAAACAGCGCTTAGTTGTAACGAATTCGGGAAAAAATATCAAAAACGGCCTTTATAAACAAATGTGCCGTCTTAGTTTTGCAGCGTGAGAAAGAGCCTTGAATAGACCAGTAGAACACGCACACACGCACGACGCTATCGACAGTGATCGTGGAAGTTGATATGAATGCTTGAAAACATTTCAAATCGCTGACTTTCAAAAAGGAACATGACGTCGAGGAGAAGAGGGCTTTTCCGTTGACAGAAATGGCTACTCCAAGGACAAAACCATGGTATTGTTGGTTCTGACAGGTTTCAAGTTAGTTTGTCGATAACTGATGGATCAATAAATAATCTAAACTCAGAGTAGGGACTGCAATCGACCTAACTGATTGGTCCAGATGTCTAACGTTAGTAAATTCGCAATCGCGAAACTAAATAATCCAACTTTAGTGGTCTTCAAACAATCCTTTTTTTCCGATGTCACATTTAACCACGGAATGCTAAAACAGAAGCTGATATGACGCGCGTACACAGCACTTGTTTATGATAATCAAGTCATCCGAATAACAAGTCGGAATGTGGTATATCTTTTTACGTGATTACAACCTAATATCGCGCAATTCGAAGCAGTCTTGATGTCGACTATCGCAAATTACACAGACATGCCCGCGAAGCTTTCAAACACGTGATTTTTGGTGGTAGTATGCACAGGACGTTGAGTGGTTACACAAGCAACCATGTCCACAATATGGATGGATTCAAACAGCGAGTAATGATTTGACCAAGATTCCATCACCGGTAGTAAGAACTGGATTGTTACAAACGCTTGCCAAATAGGGCTAGTGTAAGTGGCAGTTGCTCCCCAGAACAGCCATAGGAAGGAGCCAATGCAGTGTGTGGTTTTGTGTGCTGAAAGCAACGTTTTTCGCGAATATGCCACGCGTAATTCCTCCGTTTAAACAGCAGTTAAAGGCGAATACAAGATTGAACAATTCATTCCAATACGAAACCATCTACTGGTGCCTTTTTGGGACATTTGGTGGCTTAGGAAACAGTGGAAGGAAACTTTAAAGTAACGCGCCAATTCATGCGGCGCAGTGCGAATGCTGCGAATAACCACGTGGTTTGGCGTTATTCACAGTAGCAATGATTGCAATGTGATCAAAAATGTTTTCGGAATTTGGCGGATCAATTTTGCAAAGCTAGACTACAAAAGTAAACCGAACGCTATCAATTAGTAAAGGTAACGTATCGGCGGAGCAGTATTTTATAAAAATAAACGACGTCGTATTTCAAACAATGAGAAACCGGGTGAAAGAAATGATGACGCTTGCCAATTGGATTCTTTAGTTCATTTACGAATTTCAACCTGTGCAAAAATCAAGATGATGTGGTGCATGCTAAAAAAGTCACCAAAAATTGCTTGCTAATGGAGAAGAAGCGCAGCGATTTCTAGAAATTTTGTTGACATATTAAAAAGCCATAAAAGGGATAAGCTGTTAAATCTTTTGATAACCTGTTGATAATCGGTTTTAAACAGTTTGGCTATTTGCAATCTGCTTGATGACTGGTTAAATCGACTGATGTTTTTGGTGTGCACTAATTG